CGGCACCGGGAGCGGGGCAGCCCCGGCCCCTCAGGCGGGAGCGCGGCTCCTCCGCCATCCCCACACGGCAGGGGCGGCGCGCGCTGATGACGCCGTGGGGGCAGCCCCAACATGGCCGTGGATGTGGGGACCGGGCGGGACTCATGGGGTGTTAGTCCCTCGCACGGGGCTTCTGCGGGCGCTGAGGGCTTATTCTGCCTGCCCTCCGCAGCACCTCTCCGCTCCCGGCTTCACCCGCCTCCCACGGGCCGTTCCCCAGCGCTCTGCCGCCCGCGGGATCCCCGAGCAGCGGTGCTGGCCCGGGATGTCCCCGGCGTGAGGGAGCCGGCGGTGCCACAGCGCCCTGCGGCAGCTCAGCAGAGGACAGAGACACCGGACCCGGCCGAGGAGCTGCTCTGCTGGGCGTGTGGCACACAGCTCCTGTTCCTTGGGCTTTGCATAGCCCTGCAGGGCGGGTTGGCACCTGAAGGGTGCGGGTTATCCCGGCAGTTATCAAATATAAATGTACTGTGCAGCAGGATAAGAAAGCTGAAGGGTGTCCCAAGGAGCTCTGGGCTCGGAGTCCGGGGCGTTTTTAAAACGCCTCTGTTGGAAAAAAAGCAGAGATGGCAGTGGTTTGATTTGGTATAGGTACCTTGGGCAGCGATGTATGATAATACCCAGTAATAATGGAAGGCAAATGGCCCTCTTGGTTTGTATTGTCCCTGAGCCTTGCTCACGGGGGAASAGCACTGAGCATCCTCCAGGGGAGAAATGAAAAGCCATTCTGTATGCCAGCACGGCCTGCCTTGGCCCAGCCTCACCCTCATGGGCTGCAGACAGGGCAGGACAGCACCTGGAACAGCCTTTGCCATGGCACGGGGCAGGATCCTGGCGGAGCAACTGCTCTGCTCTTGACCCTCAGTGAAGATTTTTGGTTTGATTTCCCCCCTTYCCAGGGAAAAACTTAAGCTTATTCCATGGATTTTGATTGCTRTGTAAATCTGATATGAATCAGAAGTGACTATATGGACACAATCTCTGCCTTTCACATGCCTSTGTGTGGCTTTTGCAACGTTATCATAGTAAATCCTTTATGATAGTAAATCTTCTACCACTGCTTCATTTATATCCTGAGATCTTCCGGAAGCCTGGGGCTTGACAGAAAACATTTCTAATATATTGAGACATTTTCAGGAGCTTTTCATTGCAGACTGCGTTGTTCTGAAACCTGCATTTTCTTCCTCAGAACTGTCCACTGAAGTGCTCTGAATTGTATTTGTTTCCACACACCTTTCAGAAGCCAGGCAAAACAGACTCTGTCAGCCAGGCAGGTTGGACAAATTTCTTCCTTCTAGATTTTACAATCATTAACAAGGCTTGAAAACAAAACAAAACAAATTTAAAAACTCACCAGGAACACCAGCAGCCTTATTCTCAAAACGTGGGATGCTTCCCTGGTGCCTGTTCATTTCCTGGAGTAAAACTCAGACACCAGTTCACTGCTGCCCTGAAGTGTGTGGAAGCTTTTTTTTTCCTTCTCCCTCCTTTTCTTTTCCCTCCTTCCTTGTGTTGATTTGTGGGACCAGAATGACTTTGATTTCAGCAAGTTTGCTGTTTATTCACGTCACAAGTTTGACAGCTTTACACCAAATCAGATTGCTGGGTTTCAGGAGAGCTCTGAGGCGTCACTGGGAGCTCCTTTAGATTAAACTCGCCTCCCCGGTCTCCCCCCTCTCCCCCTCCTTCAGAGCCATTTAAACCTCTCTGGGGCTTTAACAGAAACGTGCTCCCAAGACCTGCATTTCATTCTGCCACTAATATGGTAAGTGCTCTTTGCATTTCTCTCGACCTCGAGGCAGAGGAGAAGCTGATCTCCCTTGAGAGGGGTGCAATAGATTTTGTGCCCTCTTAAGATGGGAAAGAAAGAGGGCTCTCCTCTACCTGCAAGAGCAGTCTCTGCTGCTGTGCCTTCTCATGGGTGAGCAGACTCCCTGATTCAGGCTTCARGCTCTGCCTTTGCCTTGCAGAAATTTAGAGCTGCTGCAGATGAGGCTTATTTGGAGGACAGAAAAGGGGTGAATCCAGAGACAAGCCCAGGCTTTGCGGTCTGGGACTCCTGCAGAACTGCAGGGGCAGAAGAGAGTGCGAGCRGCCAGGAGGTGACTCTGCTGGCTTTGTGCTGCTGCTTTAGAGCTGAATCAAACACCCAAGGTGGCAGGAACGGTCTGGCCAAGGACAGCCTGGGACCTCCCTTCACCCTAAACCCACTCAGGACCGTAGCATTTCCCAAGAATTTGCAGGAAACTGAGCCATCKCCCTGACACAGCCCTGCTCGGAGCCCCAGTGCTGCGGGGGCTGGCAGGGCGGCAGTGCCCGCGCTCGGAGGGCGCACGGAGCGGTGCCACCGGGAAAGCGGGGAGCGGGCACCCGGGTCAGGGCTGGGCGCTGCCTCGGGGGCCGGCGGCGGCTGCCAGGGGCGGTGGGGCTGTCCCGCGATGGCACCTGAGCCCTGCCCGGCCGGCACCGCGGGGAGAGCGCTGCCCCGCCGGAGCGCTTGTGCCGGGGCGCGGCGGGGCCGGGCTGACACCGCCTCCCCTCGGGGCCCGCCGGCGGCTGGGGACGGGGCACCGCCGGCCCCGCCGAGCGCTCCACCGCCTCGGCCCCTTCCCTCCGCAGAGCGCCGGCTGGCCGTGCCCGGAGCCGGACTTCGCCGGRGGCTCGGGCTGCGCCTGCCCCTGGTCCGCCCCCGCCGGTGTTTCCAAGGAGACCTGGGCTGCCGTCTGCGCCGCGGAGCCGCCCCACAGCCAGGGCCGGCGGGAGGCTCGGCCGCCGGGTGAGTGCGCTCAGCCGCCGCCGGGGCGGGGGGGACCGGGCTGGGAGCGGTGCGGCACCGGGCTAACCCTCGCTCTGGTCCCCAGGCCAGTTCTGCAGCCCGCAGCTCGGTGCTCAGGATGCGGCGTGGCAGGGAGACCAGCTGTCCTCCCAGCTCTACAGAAACAAGCAGGTAAAAGCTCTGCTCCCCCCAGCAACCATGGGTTCACCCCACGAGGCTCCTGAACTTTGCATCACGTATGGCACCTTCTAGGTTGGCTCATGGCATGGCTCCCTCTCACTGGCACTGATGTCGGAAATGACAGAAAACTCTTGTGCCTTGCTTGGAGTATTTGTCTCCCTCATGTTGTCCTGTGAAGTTGGAACAACTGCGGTGTTCCCACTATCTTCCCTTCCTACATCATATTGCACCACCAGCCTTGGTACTAGAGAAAACCAGGGGCATGAACAGGGACATCCCTCAGGCTCTGATAATGCTGTTGACTAAAAATACGTAGTGTGTGTCCTGATTCCACCAGGTTTAACTTCATGGAAAACGGTTCCACCAGAATTGCCTAATTATATGAGGATCAACCATTTTGACCAACAGGATTCCCTTGTTAGTTTWCATTCTCTTATCTTCCCTTTTTTTGTAAATCCCAACAAGAGAGGAGAGAAACTCTGAACTGTCTTAGATGAACGAACTGCAGACTGATGACTCTGATCAATTTCTTGGAATGATGTTTTGACACAGTGAAGTCAATGAACATTCAGATATTATCTTAAAGGTCCCTGGAATCAAACTCTAGTTCCAGATGTCACTGTACTTCTTTGTCTCTGCCTYAATCATTTAAGTCTGTTCTTGACTGAGCCTCTGCTCAGCAGATGTCTGTGGTCCTTGGCAGAAGATTCTTTGTCCTCCTAAAGAAGTCTCCAGAGCTAATATCAGGAGGCAAAAATCTAYCTGCAAACACTTAGATTTCCCATGGAAAAGCTTTAGGTATCTGCCATTCCCGTTCAGCTTTTAGGACCAGGGATTATCTCAATTCTGTATGTGTACCAGGACTAGCACTGAAGGTCCAGAATTGAAGGCATCGTTGAGCACTGCTGTATCATAAAGAGTGGCAACTGCATCTTTGTTCTGCACTCTATCCCCATGAATTGTTAGTTTGCTACTCCTCCTTCATTTCTGCACCAGCCAGGTATAAATGGGAAGGAGAGGTGCAAAGGGATGTTTGCTGCAGCTCAGGAGGAGATCCTGAAGTTGCTGTCATGCCCGTGACCATTTCTGGCTGCTCACAGGGCTACCTGTAATTCTTTTCTATTATTATTCTGTGGTTGCACGTTTTTTCAGACTAATCTTAAACACTAAAGATTAAAGGAAGTCAAAAGTGAAAACTGAACAGTCATGCCACTTAGATCTATAGAGACAAGAGGCTGGAGGGGGTGGGTTGAGCTCACAAAGCAAACACCCAGATCATCAAATCCAAGCAGCTTGTACCATAGGGCAATTGCTATTAAGTTACAGAGTCAACATCTATTCATCAATATCTCTATTCCACAGCTTCAAGATACTTTGCTTCAGAAGGAAGAGGAACTTGCTAGGTTACATGAAGAAAATAATAACCTCCGACAATACCTGAATTCTGCCCTGATTAAGTGTTTGGAAGAAAAAGCCAAGGTATTGTGTTCAACTGTCACATAGGTGTGTGCAGAAGGAACAGGTTGATTAGGTACAGGTCAGTAAAATATATGAAAAATCTAAGAGTGTAGACAGCCTGTAGTGTGACATTTAAATTCACAAAGGTGACAGTTTCCCTCAGGAATTATATCCTATCAGGTTCTGTGAAGGCAGTATAGCACGTGGCATAATTAAGTTTAGCTTATTAGTTAACTATAATTAAGATTATATAGGCAAGGTAAAGTTATTCCTTCTGATGTTTTTTTTCAGTAAAAGTTGAAATTTTAATATGTACATCTTGAATGTCTCTGTTTTGTCAATTATCCCTTGATGAGGATTACTTTTCTTTTGTTTTGTTTTCTGAATTTCTAATTATATGTTTTATTCATTTACATTAGAATACTGTATTTTCCAGTTTAGTAATTGAAACATTGTGYAGGGTTTTGTTTTTCATGGGGAAATACAAAATTAAACATTTGAGGTTGGRTGAAACATTCTGTTAAACTAAGCTGTGAGGCGATTTTTTTAAACATTTGGATTCTTTGTCTCTCATCTTAACAAAAATGAAGAATATAATTATTTCCTGTAAGGTTAAAGACATTTTTTGCTGTTCCAGCCTTGCCCATGAAACTATTAGTTATTTGCTCAACTCTGTGGATTGGGCATGAGGTAAAAAAGACTGTAGAACATAGCAAACTTTCTTTTTCCATTCTGTTGATGAGTTGATGGTGTGACATGTCCTTCCTCCTGTGGCCAGACCTGGCTCCTGGCAGTGGAAAAGGTCTTCTCTGGGCACAGCAGGGAGACATGACCACCCCCTGTGTCATGTGAATCTGTCACAGGACATGTCTGAGCAGTGAATTCATGACATGGTGGGGAGCTGCCTTGTTTATTCCCACCTTTGACCACCCCTGGATGCCTGAAGGGCCATTGTCCTGCCATAATGACAATTGAGATGAATTGAGAGTGCAAGGCCACTCAAGCACTGCCTGACTGGGATCACCCCTGTCCCAGCATGAGTTACCTTTGCATCCTCCCTCTTTGTCAGGCTGCCACTTTGTCCCCAAGCCCCGCTCACCTGCCAAGTGCTGCTGGCACAGAGCCAGATGGGAGCTTACAGTTGGAAATGCCTTTAAAGTACAAACCTTCTTGATGTGGTCACGTTCTTCTCTATCGGGGCTAGGTTTTGGCAGGCAGTGTAAAGATACAAAACTGTTGGTCATACCCATATGTTTAAGCAGAGGGTGGGGAAAAAATTATAAGGACATTAGTAACCATCTTGCACATCTAAAATCTGAGGTCAGAAACATGTTGCTTTCAGGTATCTAGAAATTCAGTTTTTAATCTTCTCTCTCCACCATGGGTTTTTTTCTTCTTTTTTTTTTTAATAGAAACTGCTGTCCGGCCATGGACAAAAAACTAGTGCTATCCTCAAAAGTACCAAGAGGAGATTGAAAGAGGACCACTGCTTTGTTCCTCAAGAAACTCCTCATGCTTCCAAAACTAGAAGGAATCTCTTCAATGAATTCACTGCCTGTGAAGAGCAAGCCAGCCCTGCTGTGGACAGTTGGGTGTTACAGACCTTAGGATTAAAAGATGTGAACACTATTGATGAAGCTTCAGCTAACTACAGTGCCCTGTCCTCAGACCTTGGAAAAGATRCATACTGCCTGAGCCCTGGGGGAGCAGAAGGCTATGAGCACAGGGAAGGAGCAGCAGCAGTGTTTAGCTGCAGCCACGTGCCTCCAGCCAGCAGCAGCACCCTTCCATGCAGCGAGGACTCTCCATTTCTCCCTCAGTTTTCTTCAGCACCATGCATTTCCTCACCAGTGTCAAGCATTTCCTCCCTGCCAGCCTATGGGTTGCCTTATTTGACTGCTGATTTGTCACCAAACAAGACAGAAGTGGCCTTCACAACRTCTCTAAGTCCCCACCGCAATGTGAGAACACACAGCTTCCACCAAGGACAGGCCTTTGTGCGCAGGGACGACGATGGGGGATGGAGATTCACCTGGGTGCCCAAGCAGGCTGAATGATGCACTTGGATCAAGGGCCAGYCATAGGAGATGTAGGAGACACACTTCATCTGCATGAGACAGATTCGGGCAGAAAAAATGGGCCTTTTTGGGCTTCTTTAAATGCTGCTTTGTCACTAACCTACTCCTCATTCCCTCACAGATTTTCACAGATGTGACTCCACTTTGCACTTGGACAATTATCTGCCCCTGATGTACAAACTGGATTCCTTTCTCTTATGCCTGTATTGAGATATCTGCTTTTTACTTGTTTCCTGGGTTTTTATCATCAGCTCTTCCTTGTTGAAGGTAGTTTCCAGGCCGGAGTGCTTTCAGCTTTGATGATCATTCTCACATGCACCAAACGGGAAAGCACTTTGGGAATACGCCTCTCTCCCTTTGGAAATAGCATCTCTCTCACAGAAATCCACACATAATAAAGGAGGCATAGGTTGGAGGCTGAGGATCAGCTGTTTCCAAGTGACTTATGTCTCTCTTGACTGCACAGATTGCCTTACGTGCCACACAAATCTGACCTACCTGCAGTTCCATGGTGCTGTCACATTCTTTGATGATGCCTCAAAATAAACAGAATTTATTTTTCATGCCTGGAGGCTACTTTATATACAGTTACAAGTGATTCAGCAAGTTCAGGGGACCTTCCTAAGGTGTGTTTAAGAGACTGATGTGTTTACTAATACGTTTTAAAGCTATTTTGTCTGCCAGTAAAGGGAGTTTACATTTGGAAAGGCAGTGGTTGGAGTGGGTCTTTGGCCTTCAATGCCAGCTCCTGCCTCTCTGCCAGACTGTAATGGGCTACAAGTAAGACCAGCATTACTTTGAGAATGCTTTAAAACTCTCTGAGAAAAGGTGCTTTAGCACTGTACACGACTTGACTGTTAGTAAAGCCACTAATTATACAAATGATTTAATGATACGAAGTCAGTGGATAAGAAGGAAGCTCATCAGTACTGTTTTCTTTTACCTTTGTCTTCTGCTCTACAGTAGTTTGATGCCTAAGTATTCAAAATAGATTGACTTGGTTATTCTTGCTTTCAGGATGGTGCCAGTGACATTGATGAAGGACTCAAGTAAAAATAACCATAACTGAGGGTTTTCTTGCAGTGGCTTATTTTCCTATAGAAAATTGGATATTCCTCTATTTTTAGGAGGATAAAAGTATCTCCTCATAGCCTGTTGTGCCTTTGAATTGCAATATTTGATACACTCCATCTGGAGCAATAATGATTTCCCAAAGGACTTCTAAATAAACAAACTGTACTTATGGGTAGTTACTTTAAAGTAATTGTGGCAAACTTCATTACTAGGCAGTTTAAAAGCATTGATTGTAGGCATTATTTCACCAGATTAAAAAGCCAACCAAACTAAAAACCACCAACCACAAAGCCACACAACAAAGGAAAACCACAAAAAAAMTCAATAAAACCCAACAAATTCAAACCAAACAATGCTCATGGAATAAATACAAGTATTTGTTTGGGTGGCTTGTGATGAAGACTGGCTTGGGTGGCAAGTGATGAAGACTGGTCAGACAAGATTACTCTTGGTGTAGCACTTTCCTGCTTTTCTGTGAAAACAGAAGAAAAATCCTATCCTACAAACAACCCATTTTTATCTTAATGCATTTTTTTCTATTATTCTCCCCTTGCCCCACTATGTAAGATAGGATTGGAGAAAATACTGTCGTCACGGTTTTTATTGGTGTGTGTGGTAGTGTAGGAAACGCCTGAACTTAACATGAGTGTGTGATGGGAAACCCTGGTGTGGGTGACGTGGGGGGATGCACAGCAAGCTGAAAATATACAGTGTGGCCAGAGGATTACACCCAACACAGCTGTAGATGCCACATTTCTCAAAGAAGTAGAGAAACATCTGTCTATGTTTTCTAACATACTGAATGCTATTACTTAGGAATTTCAATGCTATGGAGTTGGCAGCACTAATAAGTACTTTTGTCCTACCAACAAATCTAAATCAGGTTTTCTTTCCCCGAAGACAGAGAAAAGGTTTCCATTTGCCTGACATTTCCTTTCTGCATTTTTATATCACTACATGTGAGARCTTCTCCTGCAGAGAGCCAGAACAAAAGTGTCAGATCTTTGGTACAACACTGAAAGGCTTTTGTAGGAACAAACGGATGCTTGAACCTTTTCCAGCCTTTTGTACCATGGGGACTGTCTCGCAGCAAATGAATAATATGTAAGGCCACAATTTACCTCTTCTTTTCCTGTGTTTTTCTGAATTTTACTCTGTATGAAAGAGGTGAGTCTTGTAGGAGGAATTTTTTCTGACTTTACTAGAGTTCCTTTGGGTAGAGGATCTCATGGTGCTGCTCGTGTYAGCTGCTGGATGCTTCTGCCTGGCACATGGCAAACTTAAAAATCTGGTGTAGACAGCTGCTTGAGCAAAGATCTCTGTGGTAATCATGCTGCTGGTCACTGGAGCAAAGGAGGCATGCTCAAAAGGAAACAGGAGAGTCTCTAAAGCATTTTAAMAAATAAATAAGAGTGATTTGTTTTACCCTGACAGCATCATCTGAACCAGTATTTCCTGAGTTACGTGAAAAAGAATAGAAACAAGCTGTGTCTAACACCAACCCACAGCAAGCAAGTCAGCCCAGTGACCAAACCATTCCTTTAGATAAATATTGCTCCTGTTGCCAAAAGAAAGCCATTGCTCAGCATACCTCTCTCTAAACTGCCTGGTTCCTCTGAAAATCCTGCATTCCTGCAAGTATAATAGATGTGGAAAATGAGTAAGAGGCTCAAGACATCTTGTGGCAGATTACTGTCATGGTGGGATATGAGGGCAGTTACTCACTGGGCTGGTGCTGGTTTGACATGTTGATTTAACCTGCTGTGTCCCCATGATTTCCTTGGGCCTGGAAGCAGAAGAGAGAAGGTCTTGGCTGTACAAAACCTCCATGAGTTTTTGAAATGGGTGTTCAGACTTGTTTTGTGCCTGATCCTTCCTGTTTGTCCTTTTGTATCCATTCCCTGYGGGTGAAACAGAGTCAAAGCCACCCTGCTGCTCATGGAATGTGTGAGGTAAAGCCCGGGGAAGCCTGTGACACATTTCTATGCCCCAGAGGTAGCTAGAGATCAATGGCAATGAAAGCATAGAGTGGAAACAAAATCCAGTTTTTCACACAGCCATCRCAACTAGGTAGTCTGGAGATAGCAGGGACAAGTTTCAGCTTGGTTCTATATTTCTAATTTAAAAAAAACAGGTAGCTGGGAAAGAGGGCCAGGAGGCAAAAGTTCTAGGTTCTGATACTGCCTCTTGTATTACACTTAATTTCTGTGCTTTGGATTCTCTGTAGTTCGCCACTGGMCCAGTTCATAGCTATTTAACAAGAAAACACAATTCTTGCTGCTGCAGACTGTGAGAAGTTCCCTGTTGCCAAAGATCAGCATCAGGCCCATATAACTCCAGGATGGGGAGCATGGTTGATTCTTTGAGCAGCAGTGAACTTCCTTGGCTGTAAATATTTATCTTGTATTAACAKAACTTGTTTTATTTTTGTATTTGAAGTTTGTTTGCTTTATTATGTGAATGTAACGTGGAACTGCATAGTTTAAAATAACCCATGTTTCTAGAAAGGTACACTAACAGAAATGGAAGTTAATTTAACATTTAATATGTTTATGTTCATGATTTTTGTGATTTAAAAAGGCTGTGATTATACGTATAATGTCAATTTTACCAGTGTCACTAAGTTATGTCTAATAAAACTTAACATCCAATTGATGCAATTCTTTCTGCCAGTTTAGCATCCACTAAACCATGCAGCTGTTGCTCACATGGCACAGCATCCACCTGGCACCTGCACATCTCTCCAGAGGACTAAAAAGGACTTTTATTTCCTTCAATCACAAGTGTCCACACAAGGACATGCCATGTTTTTATGACACCAAACCTAAATAAATTGATAGCCACAGGTGTGCTCATTTCAGCCTGGGCTTGCACAGCATATTTCAGTGATCCATTATTGCTCTGACTCAGAAATAGATGGCATGCTRCAAAACAGCAAGGACAGAGGGAAATATTGTGCTTTTTGCCTGTTGTTTTTGCAGCATCTGGCACTCTCACTTAATAGACTTATACCTTCTGAACATCATGATCCAGGGCACCCCGATTCATTATAGTGCTCTGAGTACTCCTGATATTGACTCTGAAATGATGAATTGCAAAATGRCACTGAGGTGTCACATAAAGACACTGGAGATGAGAGAGAAAAGCCTGATTAAAGAACTCAAACCTCTGCTCAGCTCTACTTGACAACAAAGAAAAGCTGTGTTAGTTATTAACTTTCCCTTCTGTTCATGGGCAGGTTTATTTGTAACCATGCACCAGCTGGGACCAGAGAGATTTTTCATTGGAATGGAGRTGGCTTATTGCTTATTGAAGAGACCCAAAGTGAGCCTTCCTTAATCTCTTTTGCCCTCATCTAGAAGCCATACTAAGGCTATGAGCTGATTCATAAACACTCTGGCCTCTTGCCAGGTAGCTGACATCCTGTCATAAAGAGACAGCAGTCTATAAATAATTCGTGGAATGAGCTGTGATTCACCTAAAATGCCATCTCTCCAGTCATTCCTCTGCTTCATTAGTTGTGCATCACTGAGTTATTTCAAGGCTAAATACTTGAACACAGTGCAGCCCAAGGAAATCAGTCTAATAATAGTTCACAAGGAACAGATTATAAAAATCAGTATAAGCATGAAGAGCTGGGAGGTCTGAGGTCCCCATTTCCCCTAATTTATTTTTTTAATCCCACTCGAAGTGCAGCTGTAATACTGGCATGGTWAGCTGAAAGTGTGAACAACTGCTGTCTCCAAAGCTGTTACTAGCGAAAGATCACACTAAATATTCATTTACTAAACAATGYTTGCATCTATAACATCTTCCATGACATTATTCCCCGCAGAACACAGGGTCGGGAACTGGGAGCAATGTGATGCTTTCCGGGGCACAAACAATGTCATTAGATGAGCTGG